ATGTAAAACCGAAACCCCTCGAAAGACCTTTGGTCGAACGAGAAGAAATAAATTTAAAAAAAAATGAATACTTCACTACGAGCGGATATCGCAGTCTTCAGAGTGATGTTGGGGATACTATCCGGTCCTAGAGACTGGGATTATCAATTCTACTGATTATGGGCAGAAGCCCATCCTTAGTGACTGGTGGTATCATTTGCGTATCAAGTGGCAAGATTATCAGTTCGCCCGGGTGCACTATGGTTTCTGAGACTCATTTTTGTGGCCAAAATTAATAACTTCAAATTGTGAAGAATGTATTACTATTGACGCATCTCACCTGTTAAAACAACAAAACCATACTACAGAAGTACGAAATTCACTAAATATTTATATTTTTTACTCAAATGTTGAATTAATACATGCCAACTTAACTTCTACTATTCGCTATCTAATTATACTGCATCCTACTGGAAACTACTGGAATATAACTATCTTTCAAAATACTTCAAATCCTTTTCCTTCTTTGTACTTTTCTGTGACTTCCGCGTTTTCTTTGTCAGCATAGCTATTATTCCAGAAGGAATATCTCATTTATTTTGGAGTATATTCTTATTTTCTACATTAATGTTACAAATCCCTGTAACTGAAGGATCGATTGCATTATTGAAAATGTAGTATTGCAAATTATTCTTCCTTCGTTTTTTCTTGCCCGATGCTATCAATCATATTTGAATATTTTCTTTCTTAATTGACCTCTCTTCTCCAAATCATCCTAATGGTAAGCCTGTATTTTCAAATGACATATTTTGTCTGTAAACGGACTGGTATCAGAGTGGCTGCGAGCAAAGCATTAGAATGATAGTCAGGAATATCGAATTTTTACGTTTTCATTGATAAGCCCATAATAACTACAAATAATTTCCATGCTAATATTGCTGAGATTTACTTTCAAACATTACTTTCTTATTATCTAAAGTAAATTCTTATTATACTCAAATATTGATGATTACTTCAATTATTTTCGAAAATAATTTTCAGCGCTTCTTCAGGTATGTACAAAAAACTTTTTTTTCTCTTATAACACACAGTAATCTCACTGTTTTATCTGTTTATAGTTTATGTTCTTTTAAAGCAACAGTTTTCTCGCTTTTTTTCTTAATGTGATGCAATACTTGCCGCTTGCACAATTAAAACAGACTCCTTTCGGGTAAACACTGAGAAGGTTCCCGCCTTTTTGTCCTAATTGATTTTTCGCAAAACAGATGTTGACCAAATGATGAAAATTATGACTTTGATTTTATCTTGATGAAGCCAGCCTGGAGCCAAAACATTTTTTTCTGAAAAAATATTCTCGACAGTTATCTTAATACCACTTTTTTGTATAAACGGCGGCAAATTTTGTACCAATTTTTCTATTCATTCAATGAATTTGCTTTATATTTAATATTTTGAACTATATAGTCGCTAATTAGCGTAATCTGTTCATCTTTATCACGAACTGTACGCCACAAATCGAATAAGGCTTCATTTCTGAAATGTCTAAAGAAAAGTAGTGGTGCTGACAAAGCACATCCTTTTTCGCATTGTTCCTAAATGCTTCGTAACGTTATAGTACTACATAAACCAACAAACGTGTTTTCAAGCAGCAAATTATTTTTCCGCTCCAAGACTAGTACTCGGATCCTCAAAGTTAACGAGCCGGCACTCATACCACTAAGCCAAAAAAGCGCCGGATGGATCAAACTCGGATAAAGATATAAAAATGGTAAATATGCCCGATTCATATATATATATATATATATATAT